GGTCTGGAACGGGCTCCCAAGGGAGGTGGTGCTCTCCCCTACCCTGGGGGTCTTCAAGAGGAGGTTAGATGAGTATCTAGCTGGGGTCATCTAGACCCAGTACTCTTTCCTGCTTATGCAGGGGGTCGGACTCGATCTATTGAGGTCCCTTCCGACCCTAACATCTATGAATAAACGGAAACAGTTCCCCATTGAAAAACACCATCTTTACAGAACTGAATGTTTTATTTTAGTTCTCAGGAAATAAGACTTCAAAAACGATGTAGACAATTCTAGCCAAGAACTTGAAAATGTTCCTATTATTGGTTAATAGAAAGTTCACTGAAGAAACAACATTTTGCAAGAACACAAAGGCAATATTAAATGTTTCAAATACGTAGAATAGACTGGAATCAATTTTTTTTCCCCAAATATTTGGGGGGTGGGGCAGGCAAAACCTAGCTTTTTGTCCTATGCTGGTAGGAAAAATACCTAAAATCTAGAAATAAAACTGGGGAGGAGGGAAGGCAGAAACATCTAATTTTCAACCAGGTCCTAATGCAAGCAAATCCTATCCCAACATGCCTGTCTCCTGTAACTTCTGGCACAGTCTTTCCTCTTCTTCATCTGTATCCTTTAGATCCATCTTTAAGAGCATCATGTGAACTACTCATGTTGTACCTCTCTGTACTTTTGCTTGCTAGAGGACTACCTCAACTTCCTCCTTCCTTAGTGCAACTCCTTGGACTTGAATGTGGTGAGAGTCCAAGGCAGACTGGGCCCCAACATGAAGTAAAGAGCACGAATGCTACTCTGGTTCCAGCTTGAATTATTGAATAATAGCCCCCACAAACTTTGTCAGGAAATAATTTGGGGAACTGTTATAACCAGGATAATGTGCCGGTCATAGTGGTAAGGGCAGGTCTTCAGTTGCTGTGAATCACTGTGGCTGTACTGAAGATAGTGGAGCTTTGGTGACTTGCACCAGGGTTCTCTAACTAGTAACTTTCAAGTAGCTAACCCGCAGCCCCTGAGCTTCCAGTCCAAGTGCCATTCCCTGCCCACCATTGCTCTACCTACTGCTGCTGCCAGTGTCCAGGGTCCCCCTCCCTCCTTCAGCTTCCACTTTGCACCTTGACCCTGAGTAGCACAGCTCATGGGGCTGAAGGAGCCTGTGGCCAGATACCCCTACCCCATGCTGACAGGTCCCCAGAGCTATCAGCACAGTACAGCAGGGGAGCAGATGGCAATGGCACAATTCACCGTGCAGCCCCTAACCACTCAGGAGCTGGGAACCCCTGATGGCCAGATCTCCTCCTCTCCCCTCCCCACCCCACCCTTGTTGGTGGCATACTGTGCACAAAGGATCTAAAGCAGTGGTTCTCAATAGGGCTGTGCAAAGCTTCACCGGCTATTTTGTTTCAATGCTGTTTTGAGCTCAAAACAGCAAAATCAAAACTAAAAGAAGGGCTTTGAAACAGCCTCAACAAAACAAGGCCAGTTGAAGTCTTTTGAAGCAGCAGCCAGGTGGTGGGGAGGCAGGGGAAAGCCAGGGCTGCGCTCTGAGCAGCAGCTGCAGCCCCATGTGGCTGAGCCTGGTAGGGAGCACAGCCCTGGCTCGCCCTGCCTTCTGCCATCGGGCTGCATTCTCATGGGGCAGCTGGTCACAGCCGGCTCTCCCACTCCCCAATGCTGGGCT